ACTCTTTCCTCAATCGGTAGAAGTGACCTCCTCTTTGGAACTTCCCCTTTCCTCAGGCCAAAAAATATGGCCTGAATTTCAGGAAGGCACTTCAAGAAGATGTCCAACTTAACTGTACCTGTTTATTGCCCTGTAGCAGGGACCTAAAGTTTGTCATCTCGGTTCAGATGGCACTAGCTCAGTTAACATGCTAACATCAAATTATGAGTAGTGTAGTGAAAAGGGGAAAGAAACAAGATTTCTTACCAGATCCTTCTTCGGACAGAGCATCTCCCCAGAGTTCTTCTTGCAAGGCTTTGCGAGATGTCGCTTTCCCACTGTACCTTTCATCAGCTTCCAAGAGAGAGGCTGAAGCTTTTTTTCGTATATTGCCAACAGGGAAAATGTCATCTGCAGTTTCATCCTCAAATTTGTCAATCACTTTAGCAACTGTAGCTGTGGGAAAAAGAAGGGGGGGGGGGATGTGTAAACTGAACTGAATTTCAGAGTAGAACTAGCTGCAGGAAGGAGGCATGGAAAACTCCTCATGCTCTACAAAAATACACTGCAAAGATGAGCTGGATGGCAACGTGGCCTCACGTAAGAGTCTGGTTTTTAGGCTTTGAGAGGGAGCAAGGTTCTTCCCTGCCTGGTGAAGGCAAGCCAGCACACTCATTTTCTGCAAAGGGGGAAAGGTTGCTGGGGAATCAAATGCAGAGAAAAAGCCTCAAAGCTGTGTTTTGTGCAGATCAGCACTAGTCCTTCCTAGAAACTACTGAGTACAGTAATACTTAAAATCTAGCAGAAGAGATTTTAGCAGCAGAGACAGCTGCTGCTAAATCTCTTAGAAGAGATTTTTCTAGCAGCAGAGACAGCTCCAAGGGTATTTTTCAGAAGACATTCTCTGACTTCTCTGCAGTGGGAGGTGTTCTCCCACCTGTCAGGTTAACCTCTGCAGAAGGAAGGGAGATGTTACGTGAACTGACCAACTCCAGCCCCCGTCTCAGTACTCTGGACTTCTCCATATACAGGTTTGGTACCACAGGGCTCATCTGCATCTGCAATGCAGAGATCGATGTGTATTAACAAACGCCAAAAATCCTGATGAATTTTTTTTTTATGAATTAACATTGCCTATATTCACACTTTCCTCCCTACCTCTTCTTTATTTTAGAGAACCCGCACAAAGCACTAGACAAACTAAGCCTATCCAAGCCCTTCCACAGATTCATGAGGGCCTCACAAGTATAGTCCCCTGGGTGGAGGACTCCGTAGAGCTGGAATGCCTTCCCTCACTTCATGCTTACAGACTAAATGAGGAAAACAGTAATTCAGATGCCCTCCGGCTTCTTGCTATATATTAAGCCACATAAATACATAAACATTTTTGAACGGCTAAACGGAGAAAATACTTTCACTGTGGTTATTAACCTCTTTCACACCCATCTTCTCCAGGACACGGGAATGGAGCAGTCCAGCAAAGGGAACACATCATACCATACTCACTCCTTATTTCCATTCATGTGCGAGACACCCTGTATGCAAAATTACAGGGTTAGCTTTGTTCAACCAATTGAGTGATCCAACTGGCTGAACATCGCTAAGTGCTCTTTTAATGTGTGTTTGGAAATGTTAATGCCTCACACATAGTGTTTACTCAAGGCAGGTGGCAAGCAAAAAAATATCTTGCTCATAATCAAAGCAGCAAGATCAGGTCTAAATATAGTCACTCCAGCTACAAGAGGACAGTAAGATGGTCGTCACCAAGGAACAACTGGGTAAGAGGGGCAGATGAAGGACGACCTGTGGCACTCTACTGATTTTCTGCCGTTCTCAGTCTTGGCACCACTAAAGTACTAAGTCTGAAACTAAATCATGATTACTAAAATGGGAAAACGCCTCTACTGACTACATTAATTTTTCTCAGTGGTTACTAAGATGTTGCTTACAAGATACTATTGCTCTCACATACACTTCTATAGAAGAACCAGGATAGCTGGCATGTTTACCATGACTGGAGCCTAAGTACCTCCGAAAGGTAACTGCTGTCAGTGTGTGATGATTAATACGCTATCTTAAGAGGCGAGTGCAGGAACTGCGTGACAGACACGCCCTAGACATGAGTCCTGCCCCATGGCCTGGCTGGTCTACCAGCCAGTGGGAAGACTGCTCTGGAGAGGGTAAGTCAAGGAAACGGCAGGCACCAGCCTGGAAACTCAGAAGATGACACCGCCACCTACATGTCATAGGGAAAGGGACGAACGTCTCAGAAATCTCAGAAATCTAAGGCAAAAAAAGCTTGATTAAAAATATGAATTGATAGTTGGCTACTAGCAAGCATCAAACATGACATGTGCAGTGTGCTGCGGCCTGCCCTGAGCGCTCGGTGTGCTGGAGAAGGAGCCACCAGCAACTGCATGGTCACCAGCAGCTCCCTGCTTCCACAGCGGCACCGGCTGCGCTTCACTGGCAGAGGAAGCAATCCTGCCCCGACGCTGTGTTTTTTTGTCTCTTTTCCTGGAGGTTTCCAGATGGATTTGCTCCCCAGCCTGGCTCTGCACAGCCCGGCCTGCACCGAGGCCTGCACCAGGGCAGCTCGGCCTGGACAGACATGAGGTAATTCGGGGCTGAGGGAACTCTGGCCCCGGAGATAACCCTGATCCCTGAGGTAACCCCAATCTCTGACATAACCCTGATCTTTGAGATAGCCTCAGCCCGTAAGGTAACCCCAACCCTTGAGGTAATCCCGGCTCCTGAGGTAGCCCGATCCATGAGGTAACCCCGGCCCTGAGGCAGTCCCGCGCCATGAGGTATCCGCGATCCCTGATGTAACCCCAATCCATGAGGTAGCCC